TAATGATTACTTTTAAATCAGTATTTGGAAAATTTAGATATGTTTTCACCTCAGAGCCTGTAAAACATTCACTGAATGTTTGATGAAGATCCCTTTTTAACCCATTTAAGCATGATATCCAAATAGTTAGGCATGATTTTAATATATTAGACTATAATATTTTTATGCCATAAGAGAGAGTTTTTAAGCTGATTAAGACCTTGCCTAACTACTTTTAGACGCCATACATAAATGGGTTAAAACAGCATCAGAAGCAGAAAACTAAATAAGGACATTCTTACTCGATCATCATACATTATAGAGCCATTTTCACATTTTTCAGTAATTGAATAAACCACTGTATTAGAGAGGGTGTGCATGTAGTGTAAGGAATACTGGTGTAGAAAGTGGAATTTGGAATTGATAGACTATGCTGAGGATACCATGTACTGAACATATAAGCAACAACAAGGTTTTAGAGAAAATGGAAACGAAAAGAAAATGGAAACGAAAAGAAAATGGAAACAAAAAGAAAATGGAAACAAAAAGAAATTTCTAGGGCACATAATGAGGAAGGAGGGCTTGGAAAATCTGATACTCACAGGACAGATAGAGGGCAAGATGGACAGAGGAAAGCTGTAGACAACATACTTGACAGGCTTGAGTAAATGAATGGTAGAACAGGGTCTGAGAGAAATAGCAAAAAGAAGCTATGTGGAGGGCCATAATCTCCTGTCCTGTAAAGAAGAAGAAGAAGAAAGCTGATTTCAACTTCCAGGCTAGTCTGTTGCATTCACTTTCACACAAATTCCCTTGGGAAAGGTCTGAATCGATTTCTTCTAAGCTATGGATTAATTATCAGGATAGACTGGGCTCTCAAGCCTTGGGTGTTAACTAGAAAGAAAACCCTGGATTCCCAACTGTAGAGATGGTAATGGGAAACCACTTAACTATATTTTCCTAAGAGTAAAGTGCAATAAAGCAAAAGAATCTGTGTAGAACCACAATCAACTTCACCCAGAAAGAACATAGTATTCAAAAAAAAGTACCAAAAAACAGCATCAGAACAATGTTGTATAATATTCTAAATAAACAAGAGAAACATGATGTAGAACAATATAAGACAATATTAAAATATTGTTTTCATACTATTGTAGAAATAGAAGAAAGAAAGACCTTGAAATACTGCCAGTCACAATGAATGGATATCCCACTCAAGGAGGCACCATGCCTTAAGAGAATACTGGACCTCAAACTTACACCCGACCACAAGTGGAACTCATATATACGATCCATTACTAAAGATGCAGGTAAAATGATCAGCTCCCTGTAACTGACTCCTCATGCTATCCTCTATCTTTATAAGAGTCAGATTAGGCCAAAAATGGAGAAGTGTTGCCATATTTGGGCAGGAGCTGCCAGTCCTCACTTTTCAGTTTTGATAGAGTTCAAAAGCATCTCCAAATCCTTGTTTGGAGAAAAATTATTTTCTACCCTCCAACCTCTCTATGACAGGTGGAATGTGGTGAGTCTCTCACTGCTCTATCACTACTTCCATGCTCGGATGAACTATATTCCTTGGTTCTGCCAGGTCTATCCTTCACGGCTAGGACCCACCATGCCACTTACATAGTAGCAAACCAACCACATTCTCTCTGTATTCCAGCAGTGAAAAGTAAATTCCACTCAAAAAACTTCTTCCTGTGAAGCACTGCTTTGTGGAAGAGACTCCCAAGAAATTGTTTCCCTGATCACTACAATCTTAACCATTTCAAGTCTAGAGTTAACTGTCATCTTCCCCTCCTATCTATATAAACTACTCCTTAATGTAACCCTCTACCTCAAGTGGCACCTGGGCCTTGTATAGGGAGAAGCTTACTGTAAAAAGAACATATATATATATATATATATATATATATATATAAAACTGAAAAGGTTAATGGTCAGATTTGGATTAGAAACAGTAGTATTAAAAAGTGCTCAATACACATGTGAAAAGTAAAAATAAAAATTTAACATGTAGAGCTTTTAAATTTAAAAATTAGGAGGTCAGTCAATTATTAATGAACGTTTTATTATTTTTAAAAATAAATAAACTCACAACATTGGATATGATAGGAAAGGTGGAGGAGGATGCAAAGAAGAAGGATACGAAGAAGGAGGAGGAAGAAGAAAGAAAAGGAATTGTAAATGTATTGGTGGAGGCGGGGGTAATTGAAATGTTCATATTTTTTATCCAGCCTCATATGAAATTAAGAGGAATTTTTTTTGCATGGATGCAACAGCTCATAATCTCAGACTTTGATTTAAAAGGGTTTTTTAGATCTGTGAATGTCATTATTGTTAACTTTTCTTGTTGATAGAGGTTGCAGATGTTACTATGGTCATTATAAGATTGAAACCAAGGTAGTGGAATTGACTGATCTCCTAATTCATGTGTTTATATATATATATATATATATATATATATATATATATATATATATATATAAATATAAGAAAAATGTAGACCAGTAGACAAGGTCCCACTGTTTTACTGCTAGATATAACCATAAGTTCTGTTCTAACAGTTTCTTTTTTCATGCTTCTCACCTGTGGAACTCTTTTCTAGTTTCTTGCTTCACTGCCATATACAATCCCCCCCAAATTTAAATGCAACATCAATTGCTATCTTTTATATTCCATATTCTCTTTCACTCCCAGTAACTCTTTGCATCTTAGTAGTATTATCACCTTGTATGGTAGTAGCATTACTGCCTTGCTTGGGGTGAAATGAAGAAAAAAAAAAAACTAGAAAACCCAGTTTGGCTTTCATTCTAGTAAAGTGTGCCATGATAGCATATATACCATGAAACAACTCCAGGGAATCACATACTTATCAAATAGAAAGTTGTATACATGCTATGTTGGTCCCATAGTAAAATATGGCTACATCAATAGAGATTTCATTTTTGCATCCTGAGAAATTATGTCGATCCACAGTGTTCTAGATACCGAATCATTTTAAACCTTATCAGGAGTATGTCAAGGAGGAAATGAGAATAGAAGGAAATGAGAGCCCCAATCTGTTTAATCTCTCCCTAGACTATGCATTGCACATGCACAAGCACAGATATAAAGAGATGGGCACTGATTCATTTGGGCCAAATACCAAGTTATGCTAATAGAAAAATGGCTTCCAGGTTTCCCTCCAGATGTTAATGTACTGATGATGAGGGGTGCTATACTGATGACATAAGTATTCCTAGTTGCCATTTTCTGTCTTCCTGAATCCTGTTCTTTTATTGTCCTTTCTACTCACTAATGTCTTTTTATTCTCTTTCACTTTCAATAATCTCTGTAGGAGAATTATAACTTTGAGAAAATAATTATAAACCCCCTTACATTTATATATACAAAAATATTTGTAAAAATGAGAAACAGCAAGATATGGAAATAACAAAACAGGTATTATTTATTATCTGTTCGTATTGTGATGTTGAAGACACAAGAGACAGTAATACTGAGTAAGATTGTGATAAAATGTAGATCAAATATGGATTGGAATTTGATAGAATGATAAGATAAAGAATAAACAAAGTATATACAGTCTTTCTCGTATGCTTTTTTTATAGATGTCTCTAATGAGTGTTCAGATAATTTATTTAGTGCCTCAGGTTTTCTTACTTCAAATTTTTGTTGAGTGCTAAAAACATAAATATTACTATTATAGCCTAAAAATGAAAAGGAGACAAAATTTTTGTTGATGTACATGTTGATGACCTGTCCGTATGAATTGCTTGTTTGATAGTGAGAATGTCATGTGTTTGTGTGTGTAGAGGAGAATAGTGAGGTTGATTCTCTTTGGTTTAGAATGAGTGAATTAATGATAATTATAACTGTTATAATTATTTTATTATAATTATTTTTTGACACTATAATTATTTTTTATTTATTTATTTTTAATGGACATGACACCCCTTGTATCTTAGTGGCTTGCTTGGGGTGAAATAATTAAAGGGGTAAAGAAAAGAAAAAAGATTATATAGTCAATAGCAAAAGGAGTCAGACAGAATTCATAACAGTGTTTTAGTCTCAACAGAAGTGTTAAAAATCTGTTTGGTATTTTAGGTTATCAATAAATATAAAATTCATTCAATTCAGTCTTATGAATTCTCTTCTGAGAACAGGAAATCTTTATAGTAAAAACACTTTTGCCCAAAGCAATCTTTTGTGAACAATGAAAGCCTCATTAGAATGACAATAAAGACATATTTGATAGCTATAAAATATAATGAAGCACAACTACTGGACAGTTTCCATGATGAAAAACAACATTAGTAAAGTTCTCAGCCAAACCCACTTAACATTAGTAAAGTTCTCAACATTTTAACGTTTGACCAAAGATTAGAATTTTTAAAAATATCCTTTCTTGATCTTCTGTCACTTTAAATCCCTTCTTCAGCTGTAAGGAAATTGTTAACTGCCAAGTAGAAGATTAGATATTACATAGCAGTTAAGTACTCTTTACTTTCTTTCTAATAATATTTTCCAACATCTTAATACTCTGCTTAATTTTCAGAAGTTATATTTCAGTACTCTTATGTGCTTTCATGTGACATAGTTTCTGTTATCTGTTACAAATGTCTGTATCTGCTTGATTCTGACATCTCCAATATCTAACTAACATGATTTACTGACAACTATACATTCTTCCTTCTTACAGTTAATAGTTAGTCCTTTCTTCTTACTTTCTTTTATTACCTCATTTAAGAAGTTTTGTCAGTTTTTTTCTGTGTCTGCCATAGTTCAGCTGAAAGGCATATTCTTGAAGTTTTAAATTGTGAACAAGTATGTCACACTTCAATGAATTAGGGTCACAAGCAAATGCACAATAATCTATTCCTTTTATCTATAGTGAATAAGAAGTGAAAAGGGTTGAGTCTATTTGAGTGTAACAGTTGTCGAGTTATTTGGTTAGAAAATTTATGTACTGACTATCTGCAGAATTGTGTCCAAGCTAGATAAAGCTAAGTAAATAATTAAGTAGAAGAAAAAAGTAAGGATGTAGAGGGAAATAGAGAGAAGTAAAAAGGAAAGAAAAAAGCAAGAAAAAGAGAAAAGAAAGAAAGAATAGAAAAAAGGGAAAAGTGAAAGAAAAAAGAAAGCAGAAAGAAAGAAAATAGAAGTAAAAAAGGAAAGAAAATGTAAGAAAAAGGGAAAAAAAGAGGGAAAGAAAAAAGAAAGAAGAAAAAGGAAACAAAATAAAAAAGAAAACAAAAATAAAGAAGTAAAAGAAAATAGATAAATAAAAAGGTAAAGATAAAAGTAAGAAAAAAGAAGGAAGAAAAGAAAGAAAAAAGAACAGAAAGAAAAGAAAGAAATAAAAAAGAAAGAAAGGAAATAGAAGTAAAAAAAAAGGAAAGAAAAGCAAAAAAAAGGAAAAAGTGAGAGAAAAAAGAAAACACAAAGAAAAAAGAAATGAAAAAAAAAAAAAGAAAGAAAAAGGAAAGAAAAAGAAAGAAGTAAAAAATAGATAAAAGAAGTAAAAAGAGGGAAAAGAAAGAACAAAGGACAGAAAGAAAGAAAATAAAGAAATAAAAAAGGAAGAAAGGAAATAGAAGTAAAAAAAAGGCAAGAAAAAGTGAGAGAAAAAAGAAATGAAAGAAAAAAGAAAAAGTAAAGAAAAGGAAAGAAAAAAAGAAGTAAATGAAAATAGATAAAAGAAGTAAAAAAGTAAAGAAAAAGTAAAAAAAAAGAAAAGAAAGAAAAAGAATAGAAAGAAACTGAAAATTAAAATATAAACAGCTGTTCCATTTGCATTATAAGAAAGAGTAAAAATCAATTTGTTATATTTTCCTACACATAATTCGGTTGTGTCTGAGTGAAACGAAATTTTACATAAATCTTTTTGCTTAAATATCTTGAGTCTCACTATTGGGAAAGTGTAAAACTTAAAGCTCTGTTCATGCATAAAATAAAAAATGATGGATATCTCTACTGGACAAGACAGTCTAGCAGTATCTGTAAATGAAATGTAGGATACAAATGTTGAAAGAAAGAAATCCTAAATTTCACTGAACAATTATTTTTAGACATATTATATACAGAAAATGTGTTTCATGTAGCAGTTATTATAGTCATTGCAAATGGACAGAAAACAGAACACTACAACTACATCCATTCGCTTAGATTAAGTGACTTTTATAAAGTTTTCTTCATGACTCACTTATATTCAATATTTGCATGAATTATCTTTAACTTATAAACTTTGTAATAATTATAATAATACATGGATAAATAAAAATATACAAAATTATTATACTTGTATAAATCTATAACATTTATGCATAAATTATTATACACTTTAACTTTGATTTAATAAATGTAGCCCTGATAGGAAAAATACAATTTATTATATAGAAAATACTTAGAAGGAATCCTGATAAATACCTTCCCATCAATAAACACATGCCAACTACATTCCATTTTACCCTCAACTTTTATAAAAACCCACACTTAAAAAATCTAAGATTAATTTACACCTATAACTATGACCGGTGTAGCCTAAATTTTCTCCCTCTCACATAAATCTTCCACCAATTAACATCATGAATTTTAACAGAAAAATTAAAAAGAAAAAAGCCCACTAGACGCACGCTCATGTGCACACATTATTAACCGAATTCGGGAAAGAATTATGATACACATAACACACATGAACTGTGCTGGGCGGGTCACGCGTCCAGAATGCGTCCCATTCAACTCCCGCATATCATCCTGTTAGTTTGGAGAACTAACCAGCGGCAAAAGGCTACGCAGTGGCCCAAAACAATGCTTCAAGGATCAGTTGAACTCATCCCTGACACAGGCCAACATCGACTCTGAGACCTGGGAAACCATTGCTGCAAATTGGCCTTCCTTGCGTAGGACATTCAAAGGAGGGAGGGACGAGAATTTCCAGTTCAACCAGCGACATGAAGAAGATCTGCGACGTGCTGTCAGGAGGAGCCGACTCGACGAGCCGCGTTCACCACCCACGTTTATCTGTGGCTCTTGCTCACAACTCTTTCAACTTCTTATTGGTCTTCCTGTAGCCAAACGACATGTCTATTTTTGACAATGGAAATAAACGCGACATGCAGATTTTAACTTCCACTTGACTCCAGATTTAATCTTTTTCTTTTCAACTTACAAAATCGATTGTTTTGTTGGGTTACTTTGTGTCCATTCATTCCTTTTTATTAATCGGAAATTATTTGAACGACATTTTGTTTCGCTAGTGTTTTAAATTTATGTTTAAACAGTGGTGGTTAGGCAACAGATCTCGCATCTTCAAATGAGAACATTTTTCATACTATAACATTTCCTTATCCAAACTCAGCCGACTTTTTGACACGCTTTTACAACGTCGAACTGTGTCTGCTGTCAGATCAAACACAATTATATTTATTTTCATCTTTCCAAACATGTCATTCTGCATAATCTAGTTTAACATTCTTTTTACTTGTGATAATTTTAACAGCTTGCGACACTATTTAGCTATGGTAATTGGCTAACTAATTAACCATAAAAATTAAACAAGGAAATGCTGGAAACGGAGAGATGATAGCCCGAAAGACATTTATATATTGATATTAAAAAGATTTTATTTTATTTCCGAAAAAAAAGTTACTTTTCACAAAAGACAGTGGACCCGTAGAAAAAGCCATATGTGAGATTTTGTCAAATTGATTAATATTGTTGTAAAGAAGTGCCTTGCCGAGGGAAACATTAGAATTCAGAAAAAAGGCAAAGCATTAAGATATCGGGCAGACCACATGGTGGTCATAAAAATTTCAGCCTGAGATGATTGCCGATACGGGGTAAAGAGAATCAATGTTAATTATCTTCCCAAGATATCATTTATTTTTCTTTCTTGAGTGCTGGCAAGGCAAAAGCCATATGGTATTTGTGAAAATTTTAAGCATGAGAAAGATAGCGTGGAAGAATCGAGATTTGGAAGATACGGAATTTAATTTCTCAAGAAAAAAAGGAATTTTGTAAACAAAAATTCTGGGTTATAATTTCAAGGAGGCCAGCTGAGCCACGTCCGCACGGCCGGGATGCCATTCGTCGAGTGGTAGCAATGGTGATAGGCGGAGATAAATGGATGAGAAGGACGGAGAAGTTATTAACGCCTACTGAAGGGATTGGTACGATATATCAATGTGAGAGAGGAAGAGTTTAGGAGGATAGCTCTCCTCCGACCTCCGCTCACGGACGAAGAAGACCTCCCCAAAATGGAAAGTGATTCATTTTCGAAAAATGGGAAGTAATCAATTTTCCTGGCCTGACAACAAAAAAAATTTCTCGTTGGAAATCGAGATTTACCGAGAACACCAGACCGCGTCTAACCCCGCACCGGTTTTGGGTCGGTACCCATATAAACGAACGTCCTCGGGCCATTCGACAGTTAGTTAGTTCGGGTAGCGGGAACCAGAGTGTTGCCTCGCAGAAGCTGACCGAGAGATTCCACAACATCCAACTTCGCCTATCCTACCAATAGCAAGTGATACTGACGAACGAAGCCAGGCCATCACCTAAGAACTGAACCAGTTGACTTAAGATACCAAAACTTGCTTAAGAAAAATAGAAGTGTCACAATCCGTAGAAAACGGACTGGAAGGAAAACACATTCCTGTATATAACAGACGGATAAAGTTAATTTGTTATTTCTTAACATACTTGAACCTCTTGGTTTGTTTGTTTTTATTTGCTTCATTTTTCTTTACACTTGTGCGATATCACCTTCAGTCTGGACTCAACTTACACTACGACCCGACGCCTGATTGGTCTCGTCTACCTAAGATCAAAATCACAACGTGGGTAGGTTAGACTTGAGATCGAAGCAGTTACTTCGGTAACCAGACGTTAGAAGTGAGCTGAGAACGACGGAGCTGGTATCGAACCGGGTACGACCACCGATCGACCGGGACACAGGCTGGTGGCAAAGACTAAGAGTCAACCCCAAAACCGAACCGGCCCTGAACCAGTCCGTTGCAGGGTTCATCCGGCCCGCGGGTTAACTTTGAAAAGTGTAAGAATTAAATTATATATTTACTTACTTTTAAAAAAATTAATTCATTAGCTAACAATGTGTTTTCTTTTATATGTCAACATTTCGATCTGTTTATTCCAAATTATCTTTGTCAAAAAAGGAGAAAAGTGGATACAGAGTGTAGTTCTTTTCTTATTTATTCGTGGAGGTGAATGGGAAACCTATGTGCTTGGTGTATTCACGGCAGGTTTCTGTGCTCAAAGAATATAACATTCGATGCCACTATGAAACTCATCATGCTGACATACACAATTGCTTCCAAGGACAAATGAGAAGAGAGAGGGTAAATAAATTGTTAGCGGATCTGAAGAAACAAGTCTGCTTTAACCTGTGGGTGAATAAGTTGTTTTTCTTATGCACATCGGCGGTCCCCATTTTGTGGGTGGATACACACTCACATCATAGGAGCAGAGATTAGCCTGGTGTTCACGAAGATAAAAGCATACTTGACAGGAAATAAAATGTACGCAAATAACTGAAAAATCATGGTAAATTGTATGTTACTTATTTATATATTTGTGTGTATTGGTGTGCATTTTTTTAGGTTATAATTGTTTTATGATACATGTGATAAAAGGGAGAATTTACACCGTGTAAAGCCATATCACAGAGAGAAGTTGGACACCTGTTGCCCGTACAAAGGTTCGCGGTGAAGAGATTGAATTTAACGTCTTTTGGCGGGATGACCGTATTTCAGGCAGGAACAGTTTTGGGGAGTATTTTATTATCTTTGTTTTTTATTTACAGATCGCAACATCTATCACAGTGATGAAATTTAAATTTTTATTATTGCATTATTCCAAAATTTTAACACATCATCAGATAGCTATTTAATATCAACAACTGAGCACAAATAGTTATTAATTAGAAAAAAATGTAATTAATGTATAATATTATCCATAAATACATGTACAAGAATGTTATTTTTGATAAAAGTTAAACAATAACTATAAATACATAAAAAATGCGTATATTGTCGAGAAATTCCTTTTTCCACAATATAGCCATTTGTGCTATGTTATAATGCTTATTACCTAAATAATAATAATACCGAATAATTTTTAAACATTAAAGTATATTTAGTCACATCTCCCTAATAGCTGTCGCGATCTGTTAATTTATTTCATACAACATTTTTATGTTATTGTTTTATTTTATTTATAATTTTGATTATTATTATTATTATTTTATATTTATTCTTATTTATAATAATAATAATAATAATAATAATAATCCTACAAACCCAAAACTGAGATATCAGTCAGGCAGCAGTAAAATTTATTTATTTACTTATTTGATTTAGATTGAAGTGAGTCCTTTGTAATTTACGGTAGCGAAAATTCGTTTATAAGTCAGATCTTGGTAGCAGTCGGGAGAAAATCTATGACACAGTACTGATAGCAGACACGGAAAAGAAATGACAAAATCTCTTATAGAAGGTAGCGACGGAGAATGAGAAAAAAAGGATTAAGCATAAACTACAAGAAGACAGAATGCACGGTCATCAGTAAAAGGATAAGCCCGAAATGCGATTTGCAGGTCGGGAACACTAGAATCAAACTGACGCAGAAGTTTAAATATCTGGGAAGCGTCTTGACAAAGGACGGTAAGTGCAACACTGAGATCTGTAGACGTATTGGGTTGGACAAGGACACATTGAGTAGCGTATTGCGAGACAGGAGGATT